GGATGATATATTTACGTGTTTTCTTTTCACACTAATTATAATTGGTGGTTTTATGGCAGTGGGGAAGATAATGAGGTCTCTGACTACTTTGAAAAGCAATTACAAATGCCTGACTTTGACGTATACGTGATTGAAACTGCTAACTTACAAAGATGCTTGTTATTATCAATTTTTCATTTTCAATTTTTAAGAAAGTACATTATGTACAGTCTTCTTCTAACTCAGGAAAATGTAAACAGTTAGTATTCGGCTTTGGTCTAAAATGAATTTGCAAAGAAGGAAATAATTTAAAATATCACCCTGGTGTTTGTCTGTCTCGCGATTAACCAATCAAATGGAAACATTTTCGTCGTACGTGACTCGCTGGTTTCTTCTGATGAATAGCTACAACAAATTGAAGTTTCTGGAAAATTATAAGTCAAAATTATGTTAGTTTTCATATGAATTACCAAAATTTAACTCAAATATAAGCTTGATAATGACCCGACTTAGAAAGATTTGCTCCATAAATCTTTTCTCGCTCACACGATTACGGTCTTTTAAACCATTATGAAACAGTTTAATAATATTGTTATCATCCTCTGTAATATCTTTACACATCACTGTATCACGTTTCTAAGCCAGTTTTTCTGGGCATTCTGATCACAAATAAACGCGTACGCCACCCTATATACTGCAATCGTGATGGCGAGTTGCATGGCCATGCTGTTGACCACCAGGGCAGCTGTTCGTGGAGTAAGCGCGTTTCCGATATCTTCTTCCCTCGTCCATTCCCAATTTACCTAAATTCCGCGCTCTTTCTAGATGGACCGTGGCCAGATCTTTGCGTGGCTCCTTGTCTTTTTGGATACAGTTCACCGAATCGGGTAAATTCCCATTGATTTCAAAACCTTGAGGAGGAAGAGAAAACTGACTCACTTTTCTCTTGAGGCCTTTTTCGTACATGCTTTGCCATACTGCATCCACGTCACCGCGATCCGGAGTTGACCTAGATTGGTAAACACAGTCCAGGTCCTGCACCGCTTCCTTCTCCCAGCTCGTCATAGCGGTTGGCCTATCTGCTATCGACGCCGACATATTCAGTCAACACCGCAATTCGAGCACTGATGATGTGATGTCTTTCTTTAGTCAGCCCTTCTGGTTCTGTAAACAAACGGCTTGAGTTTTAAATGAGTCCAATTGAATCGTTCGTGGTCTGTCTGAAAATAGGTTCAATTAATTGTTTGTATCTGTTTCACCTTCGTTAAAGGTTATCTTTATTCGCTGACTCAGTTCAAGTCCTCTCTAGTCTCAAATTTCCGGGGGCAGTTCTGTTGATATATTTCCCGCCGGAATGGTATCAAATTCAGCGCTGCAAATACCACAATGTTGACCTTTCGATTCAACCAAGCGACTTTATAGCACAAAGTGTACTCTGTAAAACGTATATAATCTTAGATTTGAGGGAAATTATGAAGATAAGGACGTCCCGACAAAATTTGAGTGGAGATCTGATTTCATCCCAAACTAATCTTGTGCGTGCTCCAGGTTTGGAAGGTTATTGTGTTAGAAATGAATAATTTAGTCGACTTTAGTGAAGCTAATCAAAATTCTGTTTGTAATATCCGATAAGGTCTCTTTAAGGAGACCGTTTTGAGGCGAAATTTATGAAAATTTTCTTTTTCCCACAAATGTCAAAATAACCGATATTTTAAACTATATAGAAAATGTAGAAATGGTAAAAAATCCAAGCGATAGTTTTTTCTAGGAAAGAATGATTGTTTATCAGTTCACTTCGTGGGTGAAAACCCGCACATGTTAAAAGCTTTTGTCTCAGGCTCAAATGTAAACAGTGCGTGACCGATTCGATTTTAAGACAAACAAGCACAGACGACGCAGAGAAAGTATCGTGTAATCAAAATTTGTTCTCGATTTTACTAAAATAGCAGAAGATACACGTATTTTCGATTTTTGCACATTTTGCGTGCGCCTCCAAGAATCTTCAATTTTCTCTTGAAGTGTTTAACAGCTTCAAACAAGCTTCAAACAACTCTTTTCAATCATTACATAAACAAAAGCCTCCACTTGGCGCGAAAAAATGCACTGACAAAACAAATATGAGCTTCGAGGCAGGCAATATATCCAAGGACAAATATATGATCATATTTTCGTGTCAAATGGAGGCTATTGTGTTTCTTATCTTTCAAATATTTTTCCACGCGCGGGAAAAATGTTTACGAACAGCTTTCCTTAGATGGCGTAGGATGTTCGCTTTTCATTATTCTCTGATGCGATTTTACGAACAAAAAAAAAGCATATTCCTTCTTCTGTATCAGCCTACAACGTTTCTCATCTTGAATTAAATTTTAAGCGCAGAGTTTTCCGTATTGGACGTAAGGTTTGAATTAAAGAATATCACTTGGGATATATCCCCAGATATCCCCCAGTTTTAGTTGGGGTATTTTCGGTTACTTATGGCCAATCGCGCATAAGCAAAAATATATACTTGTCGGATTCTAACGACAAATATTGTCGATTCGCTGTCATTCTCGTAAATAAGCTGCATTCTCCATAGCCTGACCAAATTTTCTTTTTAAAAAAATAGAATGATAATATTCAACCCATAAGGGATCGCAAACAAAGTATTATTTTCATTACGTACACGTTCTTCACTGCATATTTTTTTCATCACTGGTTCATTTTGACTAGGCATTGCACACTTCAAGGTGAAGGTGTAATTTTTTATGTCGTCGGCTTTTTATCCTGTACTATCTGTCGAAGCCGGTTGGCACACGAAAAGAGCCTGGTTATTTTCAAAATATGTTCGTCTCTGTATTTTACTGCTAGATATGCAAAATATCGTTTAATTTGACAAATGATGTGAAATATTCGTATTATCAAATTCTTCAAGCAAAGTAAGCACATGAACCTTTCTGCACCTGTTTTGACTTAAACTCGCTATGCCGGATGTCACAACACTGGTACGTGCGACCATATACTCAAAATCCGAAAATTTATTCAAATAATGGTATGGACGAGGTAGGATTTTCAGTGTTGAACATAGGACTTGTGTTTAAACTACACCGACAAAAGAACTAAAGTTGCTAATTCTAGCATAAATAAATACGGAGTAACGAAACAACGACACTTACAAGACTAACAAGGCTACAGCGTTCAGCCGGGGAAAAAATTATTAAGATGACCTCAGACGTAGAGTGTAAAATGCGAATGTAAATTCATTGTAACTGGCGCCAAGGAAGACAAACTTGCAAACAAACGCTAATGACGAGGTAAAAAGCTGATACAAAGGAACAATCATTAGGAGAGGTGTAAAAAAGAACCGACTAAAGACGAAATAAACCGTCTCTGCCGCTAAAGATGCAAAGAAGGAATAGCTAACTCATTTGGGATTCGCTTCGCAGTAAATTTCACTGTATCTCTTCGCCTTCGTTAGCGTAAATTGATTTAAACTCAAGAGATCATGGCAAACCCTCAGAATATTCAAATTAATTCAGTGTCACCTCGCTGTCTGATTGGTTGATCGGGATAACGGATTAAAGCGAGGTGTCACAGTCAGGATCGACCGAACCACTCTCGGTAGAGATAAAATTAACCTTTGACCCAAGCCTCTTGCGCGGCCGTGACCAGTCCCATCAAAGGAATAGGCAGAGAGATATGAACTTGGAAATGATGGTAGAAAATTCTCGTTTTCAGCGTAACGCGTGGAGATTTTTGGAATTGAGACACTTTCCAGGGTGCAATGATCTCAGATCGTAAGCTTTAGTTAAAAAAAAAATGCCGAGTAGATGGATTTTCTGGGCGCAAACGGCCTCCAAGTGGACTACGTTCGAAATCGTAGTGTCAAACAGTGATGGCAAAGCAAGCCCAAAACAGCAAAATCGCCAAAAACCACAATAGACACGCAAAGAGTGAGTAGGTTTTGTCTATCTTGGAATATTTGGCGCTGTAAATAGACCATATCTCGTTCCACGTACTATTCCTTTACGCATTCAAATTCTCAACGGTTCCTTGCGCAACTCAACACCGTGTCACACAACCCGTGACGCTTTAATGAAATAATCTTTCCCTTTTCCTCGAGACGTGAGCTTGGGACGCCTGTGGTGGGAGAAGAGAATCTTGGGAACGGCCACAGTTGGAAAATACTAGCGAATTAAATTGCCAAAATCTGATATATTTCATTCACCAATCGCCGGCGTATAAAACCGTGTCTTGATTAAGATTTTCCTTCATGTGATTGCTATTTGCCTCCTTTTGTCCTTCAGTTACTTTTCCTTTCCTCTCCTTCTCCCTTTTTCCATTTAATCTTCATGATCATTTACAGCTCACGTTCAATAAAGGTCAGGGAATTAATGGTTGCTTCTTACTGAATCAAAGATGTTCAAAAGTTATTTTAGGTGCAAAACCAGCCTAACAATAGCAATGTCGTAAGTAAAGACTCGCTTTGTTTAAAAAGGTGCTCGGGACTGAAATGGCTGTCCAACTTACGTGATTAAACCATAAAATCAAACTTTAAATAAAACTAGAATAGCACTGTCTTGGAATGAATACAGATTTAAGTCCAACATGATTTGAGGCTATATCTAGTGAATTTGAAGGTGATGGAACCGCAGCTCTGTTGGAAAACACCTTTTAAGAACAGGAGAGATTTCTATCGCAGATAGACAAACTTGGTAGAAGAGAATAGCCTTTTTCGATACAGGGGTAAACTTATGTCTGATTCATGACATATCCGACAAATGAATAAGTACACTTCGAAACGATGTATTTTAAGCCTCCAGCTGCTCCACATGCAGACAGCGAAAAGCTCTTTCGTTGCTTAACTTCTAAAAGCGTAAAAGCTGACTGAATCGAACTTCTGGTTTAAAAGAAAAACTAGCTGAATTAGCAACGCTCATCATACCGCAAAGGTTCGAGTAAACAGGTGTTGGGAATTAGATAAATGCCTGACAACCCAGCGGTTTTCCCGATAAACTCGCGCTAAAATCATGTCACTCACGATATAATTTTTAACAGATATATTTTTCTCTCACAACGTGCCGAGTTTCTTTTTTTTTTAACGCATGTGGTGTATTTTAGAACAAAGGATATACAATCGGTGAATGTTTCCTTTGATTGGTTACAGTTACTAATGATGACAGACTCGATGCCTATCCCTTTCCGGTGGACTAAACAACAAAATTTTAAACGCATTAAAAAGGTTTGATTATGTAAACACACGATTTCCGACACCCTCCCCCATTTGCCTCGAGAGGGCAAATGTCCACGAACTTAAACAGTTGGAAAATCAGTCATGATCAAGAAATGTGTTCATTGTTCATTCTCGTTAATATCCTGAATACGAAATCTAGCCGCTGCAGCAGCATCCCTTTGGGGCCTGTAGACCGGCGCGTCTGCATTCAGGGTCGCAGGTGGGGTCTGTAGTGACTTGTCACAGCTCAACTCCAGAGGATACACTGAAGTGCTAAATTGGGCGCTCCAAATGCACCTTTCCGGACTTTAGCTTCGCCCCACGAATCACGACATCACGGGCGGTGATCAGGTCTTCAACGACCCCCAGCTTCCACTGTGCTCGGTTCTTCTCCTCTGATTTGATGATAACAACTTCTCCCCTGGATGGATAGGTCACGTCTCCTTTGTGCTTCAGCCAGTCTCTGTCTCTCAGTCCACGAAGGTACTCTCTTGTCCAGCGTGACCATAGTGTATCCTTGCACTTCCTCAAATAATTGGCTCTCTTCCGCAAGTCATGTTCCTGAACACGATGAGGTTCTAACTCTGATAGCATGTTCGGTTGACCATACAGGAAGGAACTCGGGGTCAGGATAGGTAGCTGAATATCGTCATTCACGTAACTCAGTGGTCTCTTGTTTAGTGCCACTTCTATGTCTAGCAGTACCTCTTCAAGTTCAGTCCAGGACAGTAGACCGTTTCCAATGCACTTGTAAAGGGCTCCTTTTACGAGTCCCACCATTCTCTCGAATTGCCCTCCCCACCACAGTGCACGATTCAAATTGAACTGCCACTTGATCCCTTGGTAAGCGAGGAAATTCTGGAACCTTTCATCGTGCATCACTTGCTTAATCCACTGGGCGGCACCAACGAAAGTTCTTCCGTTGTCAGAATACACCTTTTGCGGTCTCCCGTGTCGGGCGATGAAGTGCTTGAAACTCGCGAGGAATTCTTTAGTTTCCAAGTTGGACGGTAAATCCAAGAATAAAACTCGTGTCAGGCTACAGGCGTACAGCAACACATACGCCTTTCCCTCTGTCTTTGCGTTCTTACGGTACTTCAACGGTCCCGCGTAGTTCTTACGGTACTTCAACGTCCCGTACCGTTCTTACGGTACTTCAACGGTCCCGTGCGATCCCTTGGGAGGTCTCCTTGGGGTGGGGATAAAAATGCTTGGGCTTGAAACCGCCGACAGCCGTGGCAACTCTTCACGATTCGTTTGGTCAATCTTCTAAGGCGCGGAACCCAGTACAGCTCTCGGACGTTTGCCATGGTACTGACGACTCCCGAGATGAACTTGTGTTACGAGCTTCTCTGTGAAGGGGTGACTATCGGGCAAATATACTGGGAAATGCCCTTGGATTCTACCTCGACATTCCAAAACGCCGCCTTGGGTTGGTTGTAGATTCAGTTGCAACCGATCTTCTTGGTATTGTTTATCAACTGCGACTCGGGACTGGACTCTTTTCACCCAAAAAGATTATCACTTTGTTAGTTTCTTCCGTTGTCAGCGGTCCCTTGAGTCTTTCTGTCTTCCTTGAACGAACGTTGTGGACGAACCGCATTATCCACGCACAGATTCTCATCGTCCTCCAGTAGGTAGATTTCTCAAGGAGGGTGTCTAGCTCGTCTGTAGTTGCTATCGCCACAGCAAAAACATCTTGCGTCGCTTTCACTTCTGCCATTGATTCATCTGATGCCTTAGTCACAATATCTGGAGGCCAGCACGCTTTGTTTTTCAACCACTTCGGTCCATTACACCAAGAGGGATTATTTGTCACATCTCCACTACGGCTTCGAAGGTCAGCAGGGTTCTCCGAAGTCCCTACGTGTCGCCAGGTCACTTCCGAATGTGCTTGTATTTTCTCAACCCTGTTACTCACAAACTGCTTATATGTGCCTGGAGATCTGATCCAGTGCAGGGAGACGGTGCTATCGAGCCAACAGTACTTTTGTATTAGGGGAAATCCCTCCAGAACTGAGGCCACGTTTGCCAAAAGATTCACTGCCATGTGTCCAGACACCAACTCTAGCCGAGGGATCGTCAGTCCCTTTTTGGAAAGTCTCGCTCTCGCTGCCACAAGCCCCTGATTGGCGCCTGACTCTTGAAAAAGTACAGAATACACAGCCGCAGCTACACCCTTACCACTGGCATCACCAATGAAGCGAACTCCTCGATTGATTTGGTTTAATCACAACGATGAAACAGATCTACAGGATAAATCACAAAATCCATACACTAAGTAACGTGAACTATAAAGCTAAAAGAAACACAATATAATAGACTTACGATAATAAGTTCAATTCGCAAGATATTTGTTGATGTTCATGAGTTCGAGTGTCCGAAACGATCTCGCTGACTAGCACAGGTCAGCGGTCCTGACGAGTCCTCAGTATGTGGCCAGCGGTAGTCCCTTCAACCAAAGGCGTGCAACTCGATTGACTGAATATCCTATTGATAGGCTGCTAAAAACACGGAACTGTGAACTGCTCCGGAAGTCGCTCCTCCCATCGGATCCAACTCTGCATCAACTTGCTTGGTAGCCTTGCATCCCAGTTCAGCTTGGAGTCACACACGTCAAGGAAGAGAATTTTTCCGCCTAATGAGATAGGAGAGGCCAATCCCAGTGGGTCATAGATCCTCGCAACTTTGCTTAAAATTCCCCGCTTGCTGGGATCAGCTTTCTCTTGTGGAAAACTCAAGCCGACAGTATCGTTTTCCTTGTCCCATGGCAAGCCAAGCAGGGTAGTTCCTTCTCTTCTGGGGACGTTTAACTGCCCTTTTGCGTACGTTTCTTCCTCGATCGAGACTGCTTCGAAAGCGGCTGATTCCAACTCTTTCACGTTCGAATGCCATTTATGCAACTCGAAGGTGCCCTTGGCGAATACAATCTGAGAAGCTGATTTGATTTCTTTTGCCTTTTCACTTGTAGGGCCGCTGCTGATAAGGTCGTCTACGTATAAACTTCTTTCGATCTCGCTGACAATGTTCGGGTAGCTTTGTCTGCAACTGTCCAACAGGTGTTGGATTACGCCTCCCAGCAGGAAGGGCGACGATGTGAGGCCGAAAAGGGCTCTAGTAAACCTCAGCGTTTCCACAATTTGACTGCTTGGGTCCTTCAAGCAATGAAATCCTAGCGCATCGTGGTCTTGCTCTTTAATACGGACTTGGAGGAAAGCTTGCTTGATGTCTCCTGCGACTGCAACTGGATGAAATCGAGAACGAACTAGGACACTCCAGAACTTGTTCTGAAGAGGTGGACCAGGATTCAGACACTCATCTAGCGAGGGTGCACCAGAGTAGGCCCGTGCTGACGCGTCATAAACTACTCGAAGCTTGGTGGTTTCGGCTGTGTCGCGTACCACTGCCTTGTGAGGAATGTAAAACTCGTGTTGCCCAGTTGGAGGTCTACTAACTTTCTCGACGATCCCAGCCTTGATTTGGTCTTGGATCACTTGATCGTAACGCTCTATCATTCCTTGACTGCATAGCTTTTTTACGAGGCCAGTTAACCTGCGAAGACCTCCCGCTTCGTTGCTTGGCAGAGGTGGGTGGTTCCCCTTCCATGGAAGGCTAGTTTCGTACCAACCCTCTTCGCCTCGTCTACGTTGCTCTTTGAACTCTGAATATACCTCTTCTTGGTCACCAGTTGCACAATCCGCGAGTCCAAGTACGTTCAGTCTGCACAAGTTGTCGTAATCTGCGGTCGATGTTTGTGTCAGGAACATTGGAGACAGATCCACTTCTTTTCCTGGCGAAATAATGGTCCATCCAAACCTTGTTTTCTCGGCGATAGGCTCGTTTGCGGCTCCGATAAGAGGTTCGGTTTCAGTCTTTATCTTAGCATAGTCGCATACTCCCAAGATAAGGTGCACTGGAAGGAAATCCTTTGTGTCCATATCGTCCATTTTCACTCTCTTTAAATGATAGTACCTTTTCAGGACCTGCTGGTAGCGAAGGTTTTCCAGGGATAAAAGCTGTTTTCTGTTTACCATGGTTACGTCCGTTTCGAGGAGGAAATCACCATTCAGGGAACTTATCTGGACCTTGAAAATCTCCACAGGCTTAATAACCACTCCCATCATCATTTCAATCTGTCGTACTTCTCGTTGATGAGGACGGATCTTTAAGCGATCAAGTAACGTTGCTGAAGCGTACGAGCTTCCGGCACCGGTGTCTAACAACGCACGACACTTGGCTCCCAGCACTTCCACTACGACGACCGGATAGATCACAGTTGGTCTTTCCATTGAAGTAGCTGTCATTAACTGGTTACTGATTCTGCTGCTGCAGATGGAGGTGTGGTGCCTTCTGTGACAAATCTGGCACAAGGAACGGCTCTTGCAATCATCAGCTCTGTGTTTGCTTCCGATGCAGTTGAAACAGAGGCGTTTGTTGCTGAGTACTTTCCTGCGAGCGTCGACAGTTGCAACCGTTTTGCAGTAAACCGATTTGTGATCATGGCTTTCACAATAAACGCATCCACGGTTTCTACCATCAGTCTGCTGTTGGACTTGAAAATTCTTGTCACGCCAGGGCTTGTCACTTTGCTTAGATTGAATCGGGTTTCTTTCTGTCCATTTGCGGAGCTCATCCACTAACTTTGGGAAATTCCACTCTCGCCAAGAATCGTCCGTTCGCACAAGATCTCCTCTTATCCCTAGCAGGTTGTCTATAGTCATCCGCACGTATCCATTCACATCTCGCAGTTTCCCCATTGTTTCTAACGATTGCACATTGAAAAAAAGTTTCTCGTAGAAATCGTGGATTTTGGCCGGCGGGGTTCCACCAATTGTAGGCAAAGACATGATGTTTTCCACGTACGCGTTAACGACCTCGCTTGTTTGGCCATACTTCCTTGACAGGATGTTCTACGCGCGCTCGTATCCCTCTGATGAAAAGGGCAAACCGTCGATTTCCGTTCGTATCTTCGGGTCTACGAGTTCCTTTAAGTAGGAGTACTTCGTCATGCCGGCTATTTCTGCTTTGTCGATCTCGATTTCAAACTGACTCCAGAACCGGGGCCAATCTGTTAGCTCGCCTCTAAACTTTGTAATGACAAGCTTAGGAAGTTTGGCGGTTTTCGCTGCTTGAATCAACGTCGGTTCTGTGGTTTTCGCATGGTTTCCTTTTGTCTCCCCGATTTGCTTCTCATACGTTAGCCTCATCTCCAGTTGTGCACGTTCAAATTCATGTCGATCTTTCCTCGATTTCTCTATAAGGGCTTGTTCTCCCTCCTTCTCTGTAAGGCTTTCCTTTTGCTTCCATTCTGTTAACCACTTTCGTAAGTACGCGACGTTCTCATCAGCGGATGTTTGCGCGGCCTCAACTGTAAGGCTCCATTTTGACACGTCATCCTGTTGCACTCCGTTTGCGATTTTTGTTTGCTCGATTTGAAGCTTAAATTCCTCCACTCTCGTCACGATAGTCCTCAAAGACTGAAGTTGACGTTCCAACCTTCCACGTTTCCCTTTGCGATGGTTCCTTCGCTCTTATCCTTGGTGAGGTTAAACAATTGAAATTGTGTGTTCAGATCCGCGAGCAGTTTCTCCATTGTAAAATCCTGGCGTCAGATCTGATTGTTTTCCCCTTTCTTTTGTTCCTGTCCTGTCGGAGGTGCCACTTTGTGTTGGGAATTAGATAATTGCCTGACAACACAGCGGTTTTCCCGATAAACTCGCGCTAAAATCAGTCACTCACGATATAATTTTTTAACAGATATATTTTTCTCTCACAACGTGCCGAGTTTCTTTTTTCAACACACGTGGTGTATTTTAGAACAAAGGATATACAATCGGTGAATGTTTCCTTTGATTGGTTACAGTTACTAATGATGACAGATTCGATGCTTATCCCCTTCCGGTGGACTAAAAACCGAAATTTTAAACGCGTTAAAAAGGTTTGATTATGTAATCGCACGATTTCCGACACAGGGTTTGAGTCAGCAAGGTCCTGCTAAAAGGTACATATGGAGTCAAAACCTCTTGCGTATACCGATTCCTGATTGCTAAGTCATCCTGTGTGTTACGTGGCTTAAGAGTAACGGCGATAGCGCAACTCAAAAGTCTTGAGCACTAATCTTAAGATCTTGTTGAATTCGAGAGTTGAAAAGATATGTGTAGAGATGCATGCAGCGATGAAAATGGCGAAATTTTGTCAAAATCGTCAAATTCGCAAAGCTGATTTCGCTTTGAAGGATTTGATTTAAATTTTTCAAAATCGTCAGTTTCATGAACATTCACTCTGTTTAACGATTTTGACAAAACTTCGCCATTTTAGTTCCTTCGTGCATTTCTGGACGTAAATGGAGGAGAGTTGGCACATTTTGATAAAACGATAGAAAGTGCGGTCTGCTTAATAATCACATGACTTCTTAGATATTGCCGATCATCAGTAGAAACTTACAAGGCGCTAGTAACATAAGATCTTAAAAATGGCTCAGCCTATGCACCGTTGCTTACCTAGTAGCTCAGTGGTGGAGCATGAAAGCGTGAATTCCAAAGACCTGGAGTTTTAATACCTCGCTTGGGGCTCGGATCTTATTTGAAAGTTTTGATGGTCATTTGGCTGTGGTTTTTGTCCATAGGTTGCTGAGCTTTCTTGAAACAGCCCAGCGCCATAGACCTGTGTGTGTCTTTAGCGAGAGAGACTTATCAACGTATTATAGAAGGAATACTTATAAGAAAATCTTACAACAACAACAGCTGACAAATATGAATAAAACACCTGTAGCATTTGAATCAACAAACTCTCTCGTTGAAACGAGACCAACACGAGTCAAACTAAAAACAGCAACTTCAATCGTGTAAGAACAACGGCACTTTGATTCAGCACGTTTTCGTAGCTTGCCCGCGGCTCCCTGTGCGCACAGTGTCGCTCGTATCAGTGTTACATAATCAATCGTACACGTGCAAGATAAAAGACACGTGCCGAGACACGTGTAGACCAGTGCAACGCAACATCTCTACATTCACTCTGGAATCAACCAAATGAAGTTTATAAGGGGGAGGGGGGGGGGGCTCGTCTTTGTGACTTAGGATACCCAAAAAAGCATTTTACCTTAAGAACCCCAACAGAGCGTGCTTTAGATGAGAAACACCTGAGAAGATAAGAATTGTTTGACGCTGTGAAAATGAAAGAAAGAAAGAAAGAATGAGGGGAAGAACGAGGGAAAGAAAGATAAAATTGATCAGGTTGTGGGAACAATGTCAAAGTATGGAAATTGCCTAGTTTTCATGGCCAGACGCAGCCACAGACATAAACAGGCTGTCACGTGAGCTTGTTTGTTTCAGGTGTCGCTAAATGAGGGAAGGGCATTATCAAAATAAACCGTGTTTGAATTTTTTCTATTTAATCCAACACAATTATCTCAAAAGATTTATCATGTGTTCTGTTTTTTCAAGATTTTGGACAAAAAAACTCTTTCTTTGTCTATCGTTTTGAAAATATTTCAGCTCGATACTTGGTAAATACGTGGCTTAAAATAATTGTGTCCCGATGAACTCACCTGGTTGATTGCTTCGCCCAACAGGTAGTTGCATTTACGTCGGAGTCTTAGAATGTAAACTTTGACGGGTCAAAACAGCAATGGCTTTTAATAAAACCTCTAAGGTTACTCGATAGCAAAATACAGGTCGAAAACATCTTCAAAGTCTCGAACACAACTTTTCATAACATTTGAAGTCTTCCCTGGTTATTTCTTGTTTTGTGTCAAATTGACGCAGTGGATATCAAAAGAAGACACAATTCTCAGGTTGAATGATGCAATTATTGCTTTCGACTTGAAAATTTGCCACTCACCCCTCAAGCCAAGGATCATATTAATTTACTGATTAGTGATAATTTCAAGTTGGAATTTTATTACCGAAATTTGTTTCCTGTTACTGTTTAATTACAAACTAAAACATATTGAAATATGAAATTACAAATCGACTACACGCAAATATGGTTCGGGAACATGTGTGGTTTATGGCTGCGCTCATGCGACTGTTAGGCAGTTAAAGGTTCCTTATCATCACAATTTCCTCGATCAGTCCGTCTTACAAAGCAACCTTAACTTTAAACGAAGCTTTTTTTATATTTATGTACGCCAAGCGTTAAAAGGAGTTTACTGGATTTGCTGAACTGAAGAAGTAAGTCCCAGACTGTTAAGATGCATAATGACACGATACAACACTGAGCGAGAAGTCTTAATGAATCCTTATGCAATATATTTTGTAGTAAACTGTTATGCCTTCCCATTAAGTCTCCAATGATTTTGCATTAAGCAGTTTTTTTCCAAAAATGTTTTCTTCGCCATCGTCTACCTTTATCTTTGTTCAGTTTTCCCGCCTTCAAAGCGCGCTCACGGTGTACTGCCGAGAAGTCAAACGCGCCGAGCTTGTAAGATTGGTTGTCATCTTTCCCACTGTCTTTCTCCGGAAAACTTTTCTCCACAGGGAAGCAACAAATGCAGGAATGGCTGGGCTTCAGTTGGAGACCTTTTTCGTAAAGACTTCTTCTCATTGCTAAAAACTCTGCGTTTAAAATTGACGCCATGAAATCGTAAACAAGGCAGTAATCCTTGTCTTTTTCTTCTTCCCAGCAAGCCATAGGAAGGGGTCGATCCAAAGCGCTCATATCTGAAGGTTTTTAGTTTCACTGTGGCGAGGAACGATTTGTTTTGCAACTGGCTGAGTTACAAAGAGCTTATATTTTGAACGGTTTCCGGTCGCGTGCTATTTCTTTTTTTAAGGCAACGGAAAAGGCCTACTCACCTGGTTAATGTTTTCGTTTTGAATCCATGAATGGCACAGATGGCACTAGAACCTGTTTATGACAGCTGCGCACGTGATCACACAATTTCATTGTTTATTTCAGCAGAAAGCCACTGCGCATGCTTAAAGAATGTGGCAACAAACGGAACCTGCCTTCGGTAAATTTTTTAAATAAAAAATAAGTCTAAACAGTTTTTAAATATAGGAACTGACATTCTTGTTTACAAATCACAGTAACCTGCAAGAATTTAAGATTTCGACTTCGGCTTATAGACGTTTGTCCACTGAAAAAGAAACGAACTACGATAGCCGTAAACAAGAGATTTCATGCCATTTTGCTACAAGATTCACTTTTATTTTAAGAATCCTAATCATACAGATAGAGGAATTGTGGCAAAGGTGAGCCAGCCTCGACCAGGCCCTCACGGTTACAAGTATACAATACTTTATTTATTATAAAACATATTTACACACTAATCTGAGAAATATTTTAAAATTTCCTTAACGTCCATAAGAGTCTGGAGTCTTGATCTTAACAGAATTAGTGATCTATTGTGTACAACTTCACTGGGCAGACTATTTCATGCAGTAATTATGCATGGAAAAGAACGATTTCTTAGAGTACTTTGACTACTTTTACATAAAGTTTATAGTTGTGGTTGGCTCTAGTCCGAGTATTCTAAAAAAAATTGAATATAAGAGACATTGGACTAGAGATTAAAATTGTCTTCGTTTCTCAAGAGTCTACCAATTTAGTAATCGACAACGGTCTTCGTAATTTTTGTCTCCGCGCTTTTCTGCTTTGGATTCAATTTTCTTCGATAAGGCACGGGCTCCGGATAGGTACTCTTTATTCTGGCATAGGTCTGACCAGTGACTTAAAAGGTTTAAAAATACTTACTGGCTTTCGTTTTCAATGGACCTCTTAATTATTACCGGCACCTTGTTCGCCTTATTTACCATGTCTACTCCAAGATAAGCCTTCGTCATCACACCTATATCCGATAGGAATTAGTTACTTGCCCAGAGAATAGCAATGTATAGATGTGCCTCTCCTGTGTATAACTCGCATGGTCACATTTATCCGAGTTAACTAGTTGTAGCCATATCTCAGCACAGTCGCTCAACCTGTTAAGATCGAGCTGCAGGGTCTTGAAATCTTCCGAGTTAAATAGTAGTGGCCATATCTCAGCACAGTCGCTCAACCTGTTAAGATCGAGCTGCAGGGTCTTGAAACCTTCCGAGTTAAATAGTATATCTCAGCACAGTCGCTCAACCTGTTAAGATCGAGCTGCAGGGTCTTGAAACCTTCCGAGTTAAATAGTATATCTCAGCACAGTCGCTCAACCTGTTAAGATCGAGCTGCAGGGTCTTGAAACCTTCCGAGTTAAATAGTATATCTCATCACAGTCGCTCAACCTGTTAAGATCGAGCTGCAGGGTCTTGAAATCTTCACGTTTGTTGATCTTACGAGAAATAGAATCGGGCCAAGATTTGTTCCTTGAGTCACACCGGTGACCCGTCTGCGCAATTAACCTTTAGGCTACCCACTGCTTTATGTTTTGTAAGAAATGTCTGATCCACATTGATAGAGGACTGTCTACAGTGGTGTTGTAACTTCAAGCGGCAGACTATCGGCACACAGTTCAAAAAGTAGCCTCACTATACAACACAAATTGTACAACCTTTGAGCTTTTCTAATGGCGACCACACCTTAAAAGCTAGCGGAAGGAACGACAGAACAAGAATACCTCTGATTTAGGTCTCTTTCCTTAAATTTTCAAGTATAAACAAGAGAAGGCGAATTAAAAAATTCCCCTTCTCGAAAGATCGTCAATGCAGATATCTAGCAACTTTTGGACGCGGTTGAACAAAATATCGTGATTTGTAGGATTCTCGAAGATCAGTGTTTGATCAGCTCCTCACTGACACAACGACGCCAGTGCAGAATGTCATTTCCAGCGATCCACATTTAGACAGAATTCTTCACCATCATCCCATCGCCCTTGGGCAGACACCTGCAGGTCAGATGGTAGGCTCATGACCGATAAGAAAAAAAGAATTTCAATGAATGATAATTTCATA